TTTGTAGTATAACTTGAAATCTGGTATTGCGAGTCTTCCAACTTTGTTTTTCTTTCTCAAGATTGCTGCAGCTATTGGGAGTCTTTTTATTTTGAAGTATTTGTTCTAGCTCTGTGACATATGCCGTTGGTACTTTAATAGTGGGTTACATTGAATATGTAGATTTCCTAGGGTAGTATGAACACTTTAATGTATTGATTCTACCAAGCCATAAACATGGTATGCCACTTGTTTATATCTTCTTCTATCTCTTTTTTTCCCCAACGTCCTGTAGTTTTCTGAGAACAATTCTTTTGCCTCCTTGGTTAAGTTTATTCCTAAGTATCTTGATTTTTTTTGTAGCAATGGTAAATGGGATTGTTTGTTTAGTTTCTCTTTCTGATAATGCATTATTGGTATATAAAAACACCATTGATTTTTGGGTATTGATTTTGTATCCCTCATTTTCTCGTTTTTTTAAACTTCCAGATGCAGAATAGTTGGAGTAAATGACACATATTTTAACTTTTTGAGTTACATTGTCTTTCAGAAAGATGGTATTAATTTATATTCCCAACAACACTGTGTATTTGTCAACCCTGCATTTTATGCTTTTAGAAATCTTTGCCAAAGCTGTACCCCACTCTTTCTAAAATTACTTTTAGTGTCTTTGCCAGTGAGTTTGAGCGTTTAAAAAATATTCATTCTTGCCGAAACCGGTTTGGCTCAGTGGATAGAGTGTCGGTCTGCGGACTGAAAGGTCCCAGGTTCGATTCCGGTAAAGGGCATGTATTGGTTGCGGGCACATCCCCGGTAGGGAGTGTGCAGGAGGCAGCTGGTCGATGTTTCTCTTTCATCGACATTTCTAGCTCTCTATCCCTCTCTTTTCCTTTCTCTGGAAAATCAATAAAATATATTTTAAAAAAATAATCATTCTTCCATGGCGTGTGGGTTCATCTATTTCTGCATTTGGAATGTTAGTGTTTTATGTTTTGATTTATAAGATTTATATAGTAAGATTTATATTTGCCACACTTGTTAAAAACATTTTTCAATTTGTCATTTGCCTTTTTGATGATATTTGCTATGTCTGTCTTCCATATTTATTCAAATATGTATATTCATCCTGCCTATGGTTTTTTCCAATGCCTTCATAACTGGGCCTTCTCCTCTGAAATAACTCACCTATTTTCTTTTCATTGTCTTGTGATTTCATTGTTTAGTTCTTTGGGTTTGATAAGGTTAATTCATATACAGTAGCCCCTCCCTTATCCACAGGGCATTACATTCCAAAACCCCAGTGGATGTCTGAAACTGCAGATACTACTGAATTCTATATAGACTATATTTTTTTCTCATACATACATACATACGTACGATAAAGTTTAACTTATAAATTAGGCACAATAAAAGCTTAATGATAACTAATCATAAAATAGGATAATTATAATAATATCCTATGATAAAAGTTATGTGAATGTCGTCTGTCTCTCAAAGTATCTTACTGTACTATACATACAGGGCGGCTACACTAGACAAGGGGATGATTCACATCTGGGCGGGATGGAGTCGGATGGCGTGAAATTCCATCTCATTACTCAGAACAGTGAGCAATTTAAAACTTATAAATTGTTTCTTTCTGGAATTTTCCATAAAGTATTTTTGGATTGTAGGTAACTGAATCCATGGATAAAGGGGAACCACTGTATTAGGATCCACCAAATGGAAGCCCACCCATATCAGAAATCTAAACCTAAGTCAACCTGAACTTACAGAGAAACACTTCCAAGGAAACCTAACATATGCCAATCACAAACCTCCAATTCAGCTTTAGCTTGCTTACCTTATTCTAGAAAATAGGACCTGTTAGCCTTATCATGAAATCCCAGTCTCCTAGGCAATCACTCCTTGCCTCTTTTAACATTCCGTAAGACTGGCCCTTGTCCCAAATCCCATGGATCCAGCGCTCCATTGCATGTGAGGTGCAGTTCTCCCCACAAACCATGGATTGTTTTCCCTTGAATAAAGGACATTAAAGTCATTACTAACTTGTTTGGACATCATTGGACAGCATCATATATTGATGTTGGTAATGGTTTAAATAAATTCTTGATTTTGTGTTTCCCCTTCCCCAATTAATTTCCCCAGCCTGACTTATTGAAGAATGTATCCCTTTTCCCACAAAAGTGAAATGCCACATTTACCAGATGAGTAATTTTAAAGTTAGCTGTATATGTTTCTAAGCTTTCAATTATTCCACTGATGTTCATTCATCTATTCTTGAATCAACACCAAGCTGTTTCAATGATAGCTTTGCAACATGTTTTAGGATTTGGTAATATAAGTATATCCTCCCATTTTAAAAATATTGTTGCCTTTCTCACAGATATTCTTCCATTTGAGTGTTAGAAAGTTATGTCATCCCTTTCCTATCCACCTTCTACCATTAGAATTTGATTGAAAGAGTTAATTTGGATGAAGTTGTCATTTCTACCTTCTATTTCTTCAAGCCTTTCTCAGGTTTCAATTTTTTTTTTTTAAATACATTTTACTGATTTTTTTTTTTTTTTTTTTTTTTTTTTTTTTTTTTTTTTTTTTTTTTACAGAGAGGAAGAGAGAGGGATAGAGAGTTAGAAACATCGATGAGAGAGAATCATCCATCAGCTGCCAAGGTACATGCCCTTGACCGGAATCGAACCTGGGACCTTTCAGTCCGCAGGCTGATGCTCTCTATCCATTGAGCCAAACTGGTTTCTGCGGGTTTCAACTTTTATAATTTCTTCATGAAGAGTCTGCACTTTACAGGAGGTTTATTCCTAGGTATTTTACACTTTCATGAGAGTTCCTCATGTTTCTTTTTACATTAAAACGGCTGTTTAAGCTCCCATTGAAGCTTACCAAAGGTGACTTTAAATTTCTTTCCAGGTGGGTATCTGCTTGCAGGAAACCAGTCAGAAACTAAAGGCTCTTCTGTAGCAGCTATTGACTGAGTGTTCGTTCTATACTGCCAATGGCGATTATCCCTTCCCGCGAAATTGTCCTGTAGTGATAGCTATCTCCAGCATTTCACACAGGAGGGTTCCCAGGCTGAGAACAGTGAAGAACTTGGCAAGAACCACCCAGTTGGTAGGTGGATCTGAAACAGATCTGTGAGTCTCCGAGTATCACAAAGAACAATCAGCCTGAGGGCGCTGAGGCTGTGCCATCAGAAGTCCGATTCAAAGGGGCGCTTTTCCTAAAACAACCACGTTACAAAGGCAATGCTTCCCACCACCGCACCCTCCCGAAGGCGGGTTCTCCTTCGGTGTCCCGGGCCGATGCGCACTCTGCAGTAGCACAGTGAATACTGGCCGATTTACTGAGACTCTTAGAATCAGGGAGTCCTGGCTAACTAGTGTGGCTTTTCTCGGGCTTTCCCAACTGTCCGTTTGGAAATCTACCTCCCCACCGCAGGACAGGTCTCCCCTCCCCCAAAAAGTCAACAAGGAAAGGAAGGAAGGAGAGAGGGAAAGAAATAGAAAAGAGAGGATAGAGAGAGAAAGAGGGAAAGAGAGGGAAGGAAGGAAGGAAGGAAGGAAGGAAGGAAGGAAGGAAGGAAGGAAGGAAGGAAGGAAGGAAGGAAGGAAGGAAGGAAAGGAGGGAGGGAGGGAGGGAGGGAGGGAGGGAGGGAGGGAAGAAAAAAAGAAGGAAAGAAGGGAGGGAGGAAGGGAAAGGAAAGACAGAAAAACAGAGAGAAAGGAAGAAAGAAGAGAAAAAGAAAGAAAAGAGAGAGAAAGGAAGGAAGGAAGAAGAGAGAAAGAAAAAGAAAGAGGGAGGGTGAGAAGAGGAGAGAGAGAAAGTTAGGAAGGAAGGAAGGAAGGAAGGAAGGAAGGAAGGAAGGAAGGAAGGAAGGAAGGAAGGAAGGAAGGAAAAGGAAGAAAGAAAGAAAGAAAGAAAGAAAGAAAGAAAGAAAGAAAGAAAGAAAGAAAGAAAGAAAGAAAGAAAGAAAGAAAGAAAGAAAGAAAGAAAGAGAAAAAGGAAAAAAGAACAGGTGGAACCGACCGACGCACGGCTAGCTAGAGCAGCGCACGCGGAGCCAGGACTGTCTGGGGCTCTGCCCGCGGGCTCCATGCGTGGTGCGCGCAGGTGGCGCCGCGCTCCCCGCGCTCCCCACGCGGCGCCGCGGGGTCCCCGGAGGCCTCCCCCCGGGAGCCCCCGCCGAGGTGCGGGCAGCTGCGCCCGGGCGGGGAGGAGGGCGGGGAGGAGGGCGGGCGGAAGCAGAGCCAGCGCCGGCGAGAGAAACACTCCGGTTCCCAGCCCCCCGCCCCGCGGGGCGCAGGGCTGCGGCGCATGCGCGCGGCCGGCCCCGTTCCCCGGCGGAGAGGGAGCCGGGCGGCCGGAGCGGAGCCGCGGCGGGAGGAGCGCACGCGGGGGCGCGGCGGCGGGGCGAGCGGGCGGCGCAGGCGGCGGCCGGGAGCGCGGAGCGCGGGGCGCTTGGGCTCAGCCGCGCGCGGGCCGCCGGGGTCCCTCCGCCTCGCCCGGGAGGGGCTCGGCGCCGCAGCACCCCGCGCCCGGAGAGGGATGCGTGAGTGTCTCGCCCCGGCTCGAGGGCAGGATGTGGGAGCAGGACAAAGGCTGGGCGGCGGGGGAGGAGTTGGGAGCTGCGAGCTGGTGGCCGCTACGGGAGCCCCAGCCTCCTCCTCGGCTGAGCTAGCGACGTGGGCAACTTGGCTGTGCAACTTTTGCAAAAGGGAAAGATAAAAATTCTGCAAGTTGTTGTTTGCACAGCTCCAGGTCTCCCCCCACCTCCCCAGGTCCCACCAACCGAGGGGAAGGGACACCGCAAACCTTCCCGGGACTGGGGGCGCCCGCCAGCTCCGCCGGGGTGGGCAGTAGGGGTCCCCGGCGGGGGGCAGCGGGGATAGGGCTGCCCGGGGCGGGGCGGGACGGGACGGGGAGCGGCGTCTGAGGGAAACCCGTGTCCACGCAGGGAGCGCCCCGGGAGCCCAGTAGCCTCGGATCGCGGCGCCGAAGACGCGAGGATGGACGAGCCGTGGTGGGAAGGGCGCGTCGCCTCGGACGTGCACTGCGCCCTGCGCGAGAAGGTCAGTGCCCACGCCCGCGTGGCTCCCCGGCTGGGGGGTGCAAAGCCTCTTTCGCCCGGATTCTGTTTACGGAGGTTCCCCCGAGGGCGAACTAGGAACTCCGGGTGCCTTTCTTTGCTCCAGTTTACAGATGAGGAAAGGAAAGACAGAAGCCTCACCTGAGCCTTCTCCCGGGGAGTCTGGGTGGGAGAGGCTCCTGGTAAGTTGGTGTTTCTGGTTCGCTGCCCAGAGCTCCCAGCCAGCTAAAAGCCGACACACGGACTGCGCTCTAGAAGGTGATGTTTCCCATAGGATTGCCACCGGAGGTTATTTTCAAAGGTGACTGAATGAATGAGTGGGCTTAAAAGTATTTCATGGTGAGATTTAAGAAACATGTATCTAGCAAGTCTTGCAGAGGATAAATGATGCTGATTTCCCATGGACTGTCGCGATGTGGCAGCTCTTGCAGGGGGCTGCTGGGCGGAGGAGGAGGGCAAAGGGTGGAAAAATGGGGGACATCTGTAGTACTGTCGACAATAAACAAGTTAAAGGCATTTACTAAAAAAAAAAAAAAAATAGAAAGTTAAGTAAAAGTAGTGATTTAGTATAAAGAAGGACTGAAGAAGCTTTAAAGACCTCCTGATCTCAGGGAGTGGCTGTGAATCTAAGAGGATGCGGGGAGAAAACAAAAACTCCCCTGCCAGTTGGCCTCTAGGGGCAGGTGGGGGCAGGTGAAATGTGATCCCTGTACTCCCCTCGCCTCAAAGGCACAAGTGCGCTGGGGAGGGGGAGGCTGAGGAGGGGAGACTTCCAGGTAGGTAGGCTGGAGGCATGGCCTATGGCCTGGGGCCTGGGATGAGACTGGGGCCGGTGTGAAATGGAGCGGATGGTTTCCTACGGCTGCATGACAAAGTAGCACTGGCGAGAGGGCTTAAAGGAACAGGAATGTGTGCTCTCCCAGTCCTGGAAGCCAGAAGTCCAATGGCCAGGCCATGCTAGTCCTCAGCGTTCCCTTGCAGACCTATCACTGCAGTGGCTGACTCTGTTGCCACGTGGCATTCTATCTGTATGTCTGTGTTCTCTTCTTAGAAGGACACCAGTCATTGGGATAGGGTCCCTTTTAATCCAGCATGACTTTGTCTTAATTTAACGAATTACTGTACATCTGAAAAGACCTGTTTCCAAATACGGTCACATTCTGAGGTTCCGCGTAGGTATGAATTTGGGGGACGCTATTCATCCCAGTATAGGGAGGGAGAGGTCTTCTCAGTGGGGCCTCGGCTTCCCCACACAGACAGACCCCACATTCAGTGCATTTGCACCTGGTGTCCATGGGATTCTGCTTAAAAAGTCCCCAGCCCACCAGGGATTTTTCCTCATTTGGAAGTAGCTGTCTTTCAGCCAACTTATTTTTTCTTATTTTCTGGACCTGCTAAGTCCATCTCTGTCTTGTGCTGCTCGTCCAGGCTGTAACTTTTCTTTGCTTCTTTCTCTTGGGCTTTTCCCTGGAGTAGAATGGATAAAGGGTTACATATTCTGGGCATCTGGAGAAGCAATCCGGTCTTGGTGGTTCAGTTAAAAAGCGGGGGGCAGTGAGGCGGTAGACCAGGCAGTCATGGTCCTATTTTAGAGATGGTGGCTAAACGGGCTGGCCTGGAAACTGGGCGTCCTTGCTTATCACGGGCTCGGGTGGCTGCTGAGAGAGTGGGAGGAATGACTCTGACCTCCTCTGCCCTGTTCCAGCAGGAAGGATTTCTAAGAACGATATATAAAAACTCCACCAGCTCCGTTACTTGAGAATCCTGTCTTTTGTGTGTGAGTGTGTGCTTATCTCTCTTCCAGCCACTCAAAGGAGCAAGGCGGGCAGGTCTCATTGGCTGCACCTCACCCTTGCTATGGCACCGCCAGATCTGTTCACTCTCTTGAGGGAAGGACGGGCTTGTTCAGGTTAGAAATAGAAAACGAACTTGGGGTGGATAGTCAGGACCTCTCCCACCCCCGGTGATCTGAAGCTGGTTCTACGGGGTAAATCCTGGGTTCCTTTGGTTATGATGTCTTACTTCCCCAGTCTATTGACTGTTTTTCTCCTTCATTGCTTCTCCCTGTTCGAAGAAGATGCTTCTTGAGAAACATTGGCTTAATGGAGAGAAAAGCGAAGACTAGGTGGAAGCCAGGATCCACACCAGCCTCACCTTTCTTAAGGAATGAGGGCTGCTGGCCTTTTACGTTTCCCAGAGGAATTTGGTTCTGCTCCCCTACCTTGCCTCCCACCCCCTCCCACACAGACCCCTTTTCCTTGAATAAGTCAAGCACATTCGTGTCTCAGGGCCTTTGCACTGGCTGTTTCCCTGTACTTGGAGTCTACTTCCCTCTAATTCCATCCCTCTTTGTCAGTCTATCACATCATCCTGTTTTATTTTATTATTTTTTTAAAGTATATTTTATTGATTTTTACGGAGAGGGACGGAGAGTTAGAAACATCAATGAGAGAGAAACATCCTCCTGCACACCCACCACTGGGGATGTGCCTGCAACCAAGGCACACGCCCCTGCCCGGAACTGAACCCGGGACCTTTCAGTCTGCAGGCCGACGCTCTGTCCACTGAGCCAAACTGGTTTCGGCCTGTTTTTTTTTTTTTCTTTGTTGCATTTACTAGCACCAGGGCTTATTTTCTGTTTATTATCTTTCCCCCCAGAATATGTGCTGCACAAGAATAGGCCTGCCCGTGCCGTGTTCAGTGCCAGGCCTCGGGGCCCAGAACAGAGCCTCCCCGATTGGTGTGGAATGATGAGAAGGATGACTCTCCCTTAATTTCCTCATCTGTAAACTGGAGAAAATGCTTCCTAGGCTGGTAGGAGAAAGCGAGAGAACCTGACAACTATGTGTGGCACGTGGTGGGGACGTGGCAGGCGCCGGGCCTTTCCATTTATGATCGCTGCATGTGAGGCTACGGCTCCTTTTTCGTAGTGCTTGGTCGCGGTCAGGCTTGAGGCCTGTGACCACCCTCCAAGGGGTTCACAGTTGTGGCAGGCAGCCCTTACAGGAAAGACATTGTTATTCCATTGGTCCATTGGTTTGGAATGTGATGGAGGCTGGGAAAGTCAGCAGTTTGGCTAAAAGTTACACACCTGCTGAAGTCTGGGGCCCAGGAGCCAGACCCCCATCAGCAAGGTCTCTAACCAGCCCAGATAAGGCATCCTGGCTGGCAAAGGAGAGAATGGACCCTTTTTGCATAGATTAAAGCTGCCTCCTGCACACCCCTCTACTTAGGGATGTGCCCTCAACCAAGCTACATGCCCTTGACCGGTATCAAACCTGGGACCTTTCAGTCCCCAGACCGATGTTCTATCCACGGATCCAAACCAGGTTCAGCAACCTGATAATCTTCTGGGGCCACAGGTTTCTCCTCCTCCATCGGGTGTTTGCCTTCTCCCAGGATTGGAGCCACGGAAGACCTTGGGGTCTTCTCACTCTGCCCAGGTTTGAGCTCTGCAGAGCCAAATTCGCTTTTCCCATTGCTGAAGTGTGCTTCCTTGCACACCTAAAGAACTTCAGCTGTGTGAGACCAGATTTCTTGAACTAGCAGACAGATGAGTGACATTTTTACTGATTTGCGACTGAATTTATACAAAGATCTTCCAAAACACTACCAACGAAAAACGTTTAGTGACGATAATATGAGTGGCTACTGTCTATTGAGCATTGACTATGTTTCTGGAAGGGTGCCAAGCACCGGAATATGTATTATCTCGCTTACTCCTCCGTGCTGGGATTAACCCCGATTTATAGGTCAGAAACGTTAAGACTCGGAGGGTGTGAGTTTGAACTAAATTTACTTAAAAGAACATCCATTTTATCATAGAAAAGAGGTACAAGGCAGGGAACACGAGCTGCCATGTGTGACTGTGTTTCAGTTTATTGCAATGGTTTTACTCGAGCTGGGTTCTAAAAAAACCATCCTGAGAAGCTAGAGCTCTGGGCACTGGGAGGGGCTGATTGCACGGCTTTTCTTATTGGTCCTAGTGGGTCCCGGCGTCTCACCTTGAAGTGATTTGGCCTTTACTGTTGCCTGTCCCGGTGGTGGACATGGTGGAGTGTTCTGACCTGCCACCTTGGGGCCTCCTTCTGTGGCCTGAACTATCTATTTTTTCAATGTGTTCTTTTTTAAAAAAAAAAAATTCATTTATTGATTAAGGTGTTACATATGTGTCCTTATTCACCCATTACCCCCCCGAATCCCCCAACTCATGCCCTCACCCCCCTGTTGTCTGTGTCCATTGGTTAGGCTTCTGTGCATGCACACAAGTCCTTTGGTTGATCTCTCCCCTTTACCCCCACCCTCCCCTACCTTCCCTCTGAGGTTTAATGGTCTGATCGATGTTTCTCTGTCTCTGGATCTATTTTTTGTTCATCAGTTTAGGTTGTTCATTATATTCCATAAATGAGTGAGGTCATGTGATATTTATCTTTCCCTGCCTGGCTTATTTCACTTAGCATAATGCTCTCCAGTTCCATCCATGCTGTTGCAAATGGTAAGAACTCCTTTTTTGCTGCAGCGTAGTATTCCATTGTGTAGATGTACCATGGTTTTTTAATCCACTCATCTGCTGATGGGCACTTAGGCTGTTTCCAAATTTTAGCTATTGTAAATTGTGCTGCTATGAACATAGGGGTGCATATCTCCTTTCTGATTGGTGTTTCTAGTTTCTTGGGATATATTCCTAGAAGTGGGATCACTAGGTCAAACAGGAGTTCCATTTTTAGTTTTTGAGGAAACTCCATACTGTCCTTCACAGTGGCTGCACCAGTCTGCATTCCTAACCTGAGGATTATTTTTCTGTTGATTTTCAGAAAGGATAGAAGGGAGGGGGAGAGACACACAGAAAGAAACATCGATGTGAGAGAGAAACATCCATTGGTTGCTTTCTGCACTCACCCCAACCGGGGCTGGAGATTGAGCCTACAACCAACGTATGTGCCCTTGACCAGAATCAAACCCGAGACCCTTTGATCCACAGGC